GTTGAAGGAGCAGCTTCAGGAGCTCCTTGAGAAGGGATTTATTAGGCCTAGTGAGTCACCTTGGGGTGCACCTATTCTATTTATGAAGAAGAAGGATGGCACTATGAGAATGTGCATTGATTATAGGTAGTTGAACAAAGTCACAATCAAGAACAAATATCCTTTGTCGCGCATTGATTATCTATTTGACTAGCTTCAGGAGCGAGGGCGTTCTCCAAGATTGATCTCATGTCAGGGTATCACCAGTTAAAGATTAGGGACTCGGACATTCTTAAGAAAGTTTTAGGACCCGATATGGTCATTATGAGTTCCATGTGATGTCTTTTGGGCTGATGAATGCCCCAGCAGCGTTCATCCATTTGAGGAACAGTGTGTTCCAGCCTTATCTCGACTCATTTGTTAATGTATTCATTGATGATATCCTGGTGTAATCTTGTAGCTAGGAGGAGCATGCCCAACATTTGCGGATTCTGTTGCAGCGATTGAAGGAGGATAAGCTTTATGCTAAGTTCTCCAAGTGTGAGTTTTGGCTCAATTTAGTGGATTCTTGGGGCACGTGGTGTCCAGTGACGGTATTCAGGTTGATTCGAAGAAGATAGAGGCAGTTTAGAGTTGACCCAGACCATCCTCGGCCACAGAGATTTGTAGCTTTCTTGGTTTGGCATGTTATTACCGTCGGTTCATGTAGTGTTTCTCTTCTATTGCATCTCCCTTGACCAAATTGACCCAAAAGGGTTCTCTTTTCAGGTGGTCGAATGAGTGTGAGACTAGCTTTCAGAAGCTCAAGACAACTCCAGTGTTAGTTCTGCCATCAACTTCTGGTTTATATTTAGTATATTGTGATGCTTCTCGAATAGGTATTGGATGTGTTTTGATGCAAGAGGGTATAGTGATTACTTATGCTTCTCATCAGTTGAAGCCCCATGAGAAGAACTATCCTGTACATGATTTGGAGTTGGCTGCCATTGTTCACGCGTTGAAGATTTGGAGGCATTATCTCTAAGGTGTGTCTTGTGAGGTGTTTATTGATCATCGTAGCCTCCAGCATTTGTTCAAGTAGAAGAATATCAATTTGAGGCAGCGGAGATGGTTAGAGCTGCTAAAGGACTATGATACTACTATTTTGTACCATTCGGGAAAGGCCAATGTGGTGGCCGATGCCTTGAGTAGAAAGGCAGTGAGTATGGGTAGTCTTGAATTCCTTCCTATTAGTGAGAGACCCCTTGCAGTTGATGTTCAGGCCTTGGCCAATCGATTTGTGAGATTGGATATTTCGGAGCCCAGTCGGGTCCTAGCTTGCATGATTTCTTGGTCTTCCTTGTTTGATCGTATCAGAGAGCGCCAGTATGATGATCCTCATTTGCTTATCCTCAAGGACAAGGTTTTGCATGATGATGCCAGAGATGTGACTATTGGTGATGACGGGGTATTGAGGATGCAGGGCCGGATATGTGTGCCCAATGTGGATGGGAGTTGGTTTTAGAGAATGCACATAGTTTGCGGTATTCCATCCATCCGAGTGCCATAAAGATGTATGCACTATTAGCTGAGGAGAATGAATAAAAATATAGTTGGGTTTGTAACGCGGTGTCTTAACTGTCAGCAGGTGAAATATGAGGATCAGAGATCGGGTGGCTTGCTTCAGTAGATAGAGATTCCAGAGTGGAAGTGGGAGCGGATCACCATGGATTTTGTAGTTGGGCTCCCACAGACTTCGAGGAAGTTCAATGTTATTTGGGTGATTCTGGATCGGCTGACCAAGTCCATGCACTTCATTCCTATGTGTACTACCTATTCTTCAGACCGGTTGGTGGAGATTTATATCATAGAGATTGTTCGCCTTCACAGTGTGCCAGTTTCCATCATTTCAGACAGAGGCATGCAGTTTACATCGCAGTTTTTGAGAGCCGTGCAGCGAGAGTTGGGCACTCATGTTGAGTTGAGCACATCATTTCATCATATGGACGACCACTCCGAGCGCACCATTTAGATTCTGAAGGACATGTTATGCTCTTGTGTCATTGATTTTAGGGGTTCATGGGACCAGTTTCTACCTCTCGCAAAGTTTGCCTACAACAACTATTACCAGTCGAGCATTCAGATGGCTCCGTATGAGGCTTTATATGGGAGGTGATGTAGATCCTCAGTGGGTTGGTTTGAGCGAGGTGAGTCTAGACTTTTGGGTACAGATTTTGTTCAGGATGCTTTGGACAATGTGAACGTTATTCAGGAGCCATTTCGCACAGCACAGTCAAGATAAAAGAGTTATGCTAATAGAAAGATACGTGAGTGATTCGAAGGTCTTGCTAAAGGTTTTGATGTTCTTTTGAGTGATTCGAAGGTTCGACTAAGTTTATATGATGTTATGGGATAACTTGATATGTTTGGTTGAAGTTCCGAAGGCCTCGAGTGAGTTTAGGGTGGTTAATGGATTTTTTTTGGCTTTAGAAGTTGGCAGATTTCTGTTATTTTGTTGCAGAGTTTTTCTTCATCGCGTTTGCAAGGGGGCTCTCGCGTTCATGTAAGGAATCTGGGAAGGACAGCTGGGTTGTTCTTCGTGTTCGCGAAGTGGCTTCTGCATTCGCAAAGGTATGGGATATTAGGGCTATACGTTCATGATCAGGACCTGGCATTCGCGTAGAGTTAATGGTTAGGTGGAGCTTCATGCATTTAAGCCTACGCGTTCACGAAGAGGGTTCCGCATTCGCATAGGGTCAACCGGTGTAAGGTTTGCGTTCGCGAGAGGGTCCTCACGTTCGCGAAGGAGGAATTTTTGGTCAACATCTTTTTTTTCAACGCGAACGCATGGCGTTGACCGCGTTCATGAAGAAGAAAATTTGGGCAAGCAGTGTTATATTCAAAAATCGAGGGTTTGAGCCTATTTTTCATATTTTAAGCCAGAGACCACGAATTAGGGCGACCTTTGAAGGCATTTTCAGGGATTTGATTGGGGTAAGTGTTCCTCACTTGATTTTGGTTAAATTCCATGATTGTATCTTGATTTCTATCATCTAAATTGGGAATTAGGGTGAAAACTTGGGGAAAAAATGGAAGAGTTCTTGAGATGGAATTTTGGGATTTTGAAGGGGATTTTGTTGTCGGAAATGAGTAAATTTGGTATGGTTAGACTCGTGAGTGAATGAACTTTCTAGTTTTGTGACTTTTGTCGGATTTCGAGACGTAGGCCTGGGGGCCGGGTTTGAGCTAATTTCGAGATTTGAGCCCAATTTAGTAGTTTTCTTGTGGAATTGGTTCCTTTGACATATATTGATTGTGTTGTATTACTTTTAGCTAGATTTGAGACGTTGGAGGTCGATTCGAGAGGCAAAGGCATAGCGGAGTAGAATTTTGCTCGGATTGAGGTAAATAACAGTTGTAAATCTTGTCTTGAGGGTATGAAATACCGGACATTGTGTCTTATGACTAATTTGGAGGTGACACACATGTTAGGTGACGGGTGTGTGGGCGTGCACCGGGGGTATTATGACTTGGTCCGTCCCATAGAAATTGTAAAGTTGAACAAAATATTGTTAGCTCTATGCTATCTATGTGTTATAAAAGATTGACTGTAAATCATATTAGAAATCATGTTTAGGCTATATGTTGGCACTATTGGATCCCGTAGGGCCGCGTTACATGTTGAATTGCCTATTAAATGCTATTTGTACTCAATCATAGTTTTTACTCGTAAATCATATCTCAATGTCTGTATTCTATCTGATACTTCATGATATTGTTGTTTGGGCTAATTTTCCCTGATTTTTAAGAGCACAAGAGGCTGGAGAGATTGATGACTGAGTGAGGCTTAGTGCCTGATTGTGAGGATATTTATGAGATCAGGTTGCACGCCGCAACATGTTTTATTGATTTATGACTAAGTGAGCCCGAGGTCCTGATTGATTTATGCCATGATTGGCTTGCTATAGCGCTTGGGCTGAAGGAGCACCTCCGGAGTCTGCACACCCCCAGTGAGCGCAGGTACCTACTGAGTGCGAGTGCTGAGTGATTGTGAGGAATGAGTGACTGGGAGGAATGAGTGATTATGAGGTTGGAGTGATTGGGAGGACTGAGAGATGATTGCCTGAGAGGCAGTATATGATTACATTATTGATGCATACAGTTGCCTTATATCCATGTTTTGAAAACTGATATTCTTATCTGGTTTTACTTGAACTTGCCTGAAATAAACTGACTTGACTTGAATTACTGGAACTTGGGAGGCATGACTATTTTCCTTTCTGAAATTATTGAAATGAACTAAAACTGTGTAGCTCGTCACTATCTTCAGTTCCTTATCTATTATTGTTACTTACTGAGTTGGCGTACTCACGTTACTCCCTGTACCTCGTGTGTAGATCCAGGAACTGTCAGACACTGAGGTTGTTGATGGTACTCGTAGTTGGTCGTTGGAGATCGCGAGGTAGCTGCCGGCATTCACAACTCTGCCTTCTTCTTCCCTATTTATCCTTATTTTCTGTATTGTGGAATCCAGACTATATTACGTCTTGGTACTTTTGGGTCGGCTATGTTAGATGCTCATGACTAGTGACATCCCGATGTCGAGCTTTATTTCCGCACTTATGTTTTGGGGTTCACCCCGTTTTATAACAAAGATTTTAGATATTTTAAAAAGTTTTAATTTATTTCTGGTTATTGTTGCAAGCGTTTTGGTAATGTCGGTTGGCCTAGTATCATCAATAAGCACCATCATGATGGGTCGTGTTTTGGGTCGTGACAACAGTTGAATAATTTTTTCATTACAAAAATATTTAGTGACTTTAAAACAATAAAATAAAAGTTGATTGCTCATCAGTAAAATTATTGGTCATTGTTGTAATCTATATCTCATCGGATTAGGAAGTCGAATTTGTGTGTTTATTAATTTGAAATATTAATAAACCAGACTGAACTTCCATCAAACACCAAAACTTTAACTTTTTATTGTAATTAATCATTTCCAAGACAAATGAGCTTGGTTAAATTACATGGATACTTGAGAATTGAGATGGATATACATCAGTATCCATGAAATTAATTATTCCAAAACGTCTTATTTACATGTGGATGATACTGATGCAGATTTTTTGTAAAAGAACAAGCATATATCCGAAATTTAAAACATGGAAGTTCAACCTCAAAAAATTAAGATTTAGAGAGTAATATGACTAATAAACTACCCCCCTAAGTTTTATCTATAAAAGTCTAACACTAACATATTTAATATGTGATATTGAATATGTGAATTTGGATTTATGAGCTTCACGTTTAGAAGGTGTCATGTGGGGAAGTTGAGAAGGAACTATCACATTCACATTCAAGATCCTCAAACCCCCAAAGCTCTTCTTGCTCTTCCTCTTCTTCATCTGGCATTTTCCATTTGTCTTTATCAACTTCGCCTCCCAATATTATCTCTAAAATCTGTCATCAGAAGGACAGCACATTAACATGAAACAGCAAAATGAATTGATGACATAAAGAATGAGTATCAAACAAGCATTACTATATAAGCAAAATGAAAATGTCATACCACAGTTATACAAGCACAAAAAGTGGTCTACATCGTGTAAAATACCTATGAAACACAAAAATGCACTAGATGATATTTGCTTTACATTTTGTTTCTTCCTTGAAAAGGAAACCAAAGAGATTTTATATCTCAGAAATATCGGAAAAACAAAATAATTTGATCATGTAGTAACGAAATTTTCAAAACCAAATCCAATAGACCCAAATTTAAACTTTTTAATACTTCCAAAATGTAGAAGGGGAAAAGGGGGATGAATAGAATTAAATCCACACCTATTATTATTACCCAAAGCAATAGCTTAACACAGATACTATAACTTAGCGTTTAAGATTTATAATAAATCTGAAATCTCAATGCTTTTTGGGTTATAACCCATAAACAAATAAATAAATAAAAGACTCTGTACTCAAATTAGTAAACCACATAATTGTGAAAACATAATATTTTTTGAGTTTAGCCGTTTTCCATTATATGTGAATTAGTATTCTTACTAGAGTTAATAATAGTTGTACAAACCTCACCATTTATGAACATTTCAAGACTTTGAAGACGAATTCCTTCCTGAAATCATGAACAAGTTTCCCGGAATTATACTACCATGGCCCCCATGAAAGCATATTCTAGATCAAAGGCAAAGAGATGAACTTCATATATCTAACAATAACGTAAATTTTACTTTTATTGTGTCACGAATTTTAGTAAATCTTCCAAAAAATTCAATCATTATTGTAAGTCAAGTTCTTCTTATTGTTTTGTACTTATAGCAGCTCCATTAGAAGATTATTAAATTGATAATTAGTTTAACTGAATGATTCATAATTTTAAGCCAAAAAATAAGTAGAAATATGTCAGATGAAGCTGAGAGATAAGCAACAATAATGTAGCAAAGTCTGCCTCGCTAATGTGCTGATCTATGAATGAAAGGAAAAATAAAGAATAAAATTAATTTAACCAAGGAAGATTCGAAGGCCGAAAACAGACAAATAATTGATATAGTGATGTCTAATCTTTATGATAAAGAGAGCTACTGATTTAGTGAAAAATTTTAAGGACCCACATTAAATATGATTTCGGCCAGTTATTTGTCATACCTCTGGATGCTCTTTCTAATCAATTGTCAAGGTCCATAGGTAACTTTTTAATTAAACTATAAATGACTATAGTTTGGTAAGACAAACCAATCAATTGATTGTTTTCGAAGAAATACAAATTAGTGCTTCACATCAACACGACAAAAATGACTAGATATCATAGATTAATTGCAGCACGCCTCAGGAAAGTGATTACTAAAAATATTACTAGAAAAATTTGATGGTTTCTGTATTTAACTGCAAAGATGTCATCATGCCCTTAGAATATTACTTTAATATGCATTCGGCGCGGTCAACTTTGAGAGTTTCTGTTGCGTGCATGAATTGATCTCAGATATACATGTTTTCACTTTACATTGTTTTTTTTTTATACTTTTTTCGGAATTTTCACCTTTTTCGGAATTAGTAATTGGCCGTGAAATTTTGAATTTCACTAAGTTGAATTTCAGAACTTTTCAAAAAATTTAAAATTCGTAAAAACTGTTTTCAAAATTTTCATTTCAAATCACTCATAAAAATTCAAAAACATCTCCAAATTGTATGCATGTCCAAATACAACTCTAATTTTAAATAGTATTTTCAATTGTAAAAAAAATTATTTTTTCCGAGTTTTACAATTCTTATGTCCAAACGCCCACTAATGGTCTGTTTGACCACAAAAGAAAATTCATTTTTTGGGGGGAAATTATCACATTTTTCGAAATCAGTATTTGGCCATGAAAATTTCAAATTTCACTTGAAGTTAATTATAAATTTTTTTGAAATTTGAAAAACTCCAAAAAGAAAATTCAAAATTAGGACTTCATTTCCAAATTATATTTATGTCCGAATAAAATTCTAATCTCCAAATATCATTTTAACTTGAATTTTTTTTTTTTACTTTTTTCCGGAACTTCACAATTCTTAAGTTCAGACGCCCACTAAAATCTTCAGATTATTTCAAAAAATGCATGTTCTAAGATTTCGCTTTTTAAGATTACTGAAAATAATTTAAATATTGTTCACTACAAAGAACATTTAATAAAATTAAGTTTAAGATAGAGGAAGTATTAAGGTCCTTATCAGGAAAGCCTAAAGCAGGTGAGCAAAGTTTGCAGTGTTTAGGTGAATTGCCTAAAAAAAATGACAAGAATGCTTAGGTTACACTCATAGAAGAAAATGATAAGCAGCTGAAAAATTCAAATCCATCTGTCACAAAAATTCCTTTATGTGGCAAACATTTTTTAAAAAGTGGGTAGATATATATATATAGACAGAGGGATAATGCATTCTTGAAAGAATTATTGTATATACTATGGGAAGATTGAGACAACTCGGAATTGATTCAGTTGGCCAATCTAGTAGAACAGGACAAATAGAAAATAGAAAATAATACTACCAAGTATTTACCTTTATGCAAGTTGGAATAATATTCCAACATTATTAAGAGAATCCTATGGAGTAATAATAATTGGAGTTACTCATTATAATAATAAATTATACTTAAAAGGATTAATAATAACTTGGAATCGTGCTCCAACAAAATATAGCAAGTATTTGGGTTTTGCTTTTTTTTTTTTTAATTACTCATATTTCTTTAATAAAAACTCGCAAATTGTCACCTATTCGTTACCACTTCCACAAGTTTGAGCCAATAATAACAATGATTGACAATGCTCTAATTATTTCATTTTGTATTTGGACCTTGTAAGTTGTATCTTCAAGTGCATTTCAACACTTTTTGGTGAATAATCTTCTTAAAAAAACACTTTTATTATTATTAATATAATCTTCTGACAGATTACGTATGAGTTATCCTACTAAACTTTTTCTCTTAACTGCATAAAGATACAAGAGAAAGAAGTATTAGGGACTGCTTATAAGATCAGTCTTATAAAGAAAAATAACTCTCTTTAAATTCCTGCATAATAATAATACCTCACCTTTAAGCCAAAAAAAATAAAAATAAAGAGAAAGAAGTATTATTTACCTCATTCATGGTAGGCCGCCATATAGAAGAAGCACGAATGCAAAGTGAAGCAGCAAAAGCAAGTTTATGAAGTTGTGTAGAATCAAATCGCCCTTCTAGCCTTGGATCTACTACTTCTTCTATAACTCCTCTGCTCAAAAGAGGTTTTGCCTGTAAAAATTAAAATACAAATCAAACCTAAAGTAAGTACTAATATTACTTGCTGTTATATCTATATATTAGTTGTTTTGATAAAGTAAATTTGTTAAACACAAATTAGCGGGTTCCCGCCTGAATTGGAAGATAATTTCAAGATCTTCGAACATATTGAGAGTTCAATGTTACACTTGTGACTGCAGCCGACACACAAGATGAGACTTTACCACGTTGGAGCGGCTTTTTGCAAAAAGATGAGGGAAAACTTTTAAAATTTTCGACGTTTTAGAAAACATGAATTCAGTTTTACTTTTTTCCGAGATCTACTCTTACTGTTTCAATAGGTGGGTGTTAATTAAGCGAGATATTTAAGGAGGAAGCAATGTTATATTAGGTATATACTTTTGTGATTAAAGCTATTAAATATTTTTCTTAAGCGATCGTGCCAAAATCTTAAAAGACTGATAATATAGACTGAATAAGTGAGTACATATTGTTGCTTTATTCAAGATTAATGCAAATATTTCAACAAATTGCGCTACTGATTTACCCAGCTGTGTAAGCTTTGATGGGAATTGTCAACTGGTTTTTTCCCAGAAATGAGCTCCAAGCAGAACACACCAAATGCAAAAACATCTGTCTTTTCATCAACTACTCCATGCATGAAATATTCTGGTGCTAAGTGCCTGGAGATATAAGATTAAAGTTTATTTAGACATTTAAAATGGAGCCATTTGTTATGTTTTTGCCAAATGGCAGAGGATATTTAAGCATAAGAAAGTACCCAAAAGTCCCTTCAATTGGAACAATGGAATGATGGGTCCATTGTGATGGAAGCCATTTTGCTAGCCCAAAATCTGATATCTGTCATTCAACCAACAGAGAATTAATGAACCAACGGTTACTACTACTATGGTACAACCATTTAGGCATACAGTGCAACACAGCTCTGAGTGAAGTTTGAAACAATATCTCAAAGATACCTGTGGCTCATATTCCTCACTCAACAAAATGTTTGAAGCCTTGATGTCCCTGTGAATTATTCTTCTAGGACAAGATTTATGCAAGTAATATAAACCCTTTGCAGTTCCAAGAGCAATTTTGTTCCTTGTTTCCCAGTCCATAGTGGGTGATATCTCATCTGGGACAAAAGATGAATAAAAGAGTTATTACAAATTAAAACTCTAGATCTTTCAAATTACCAGGAAAGAACATTACCATGGAGAATTGAAGCAACAGAGCCTTTAGAAGAGAACTGAAAAATGAGATAAAGCCCATTCTCAATACAACAACCTAACAATGATGTCACATTGGGATGGCAAACGTGACCAAGTGTCCCAATTTCTGTCAAAAATTCCTTCTCTTTTCTCTCATCATCGGTGGCTTTTGTCAGCATTTTTACAGCTATTGCCTGTCCATCATCTAATACTCCTTTGTACACTTCTGCATACCCTCCTTTCCCAACCATATTTTCTGAACATTCAATCATTAATTAGAAAATGCTATGAATTCAGAGGCGAGTCTAGGGTGAGTTCTATCTGTCGATTCAACTAATTCATTTTTTTAACTCTAATTAGATATACATAAGTAAAATGTATACTGACTCAAGATTCTAAATTGGTCTCTAACCTGAGTCGAAACCGTTGGTGGCACGAAAAATTTCTTGATAAGAGAAACATTTCCATGTGGGCCTATGAGTTGGCTGTGTTGTGGGGGAAGCAGTATCAGCAACAATAGCGGTACTTGTAGTATTATTTTCTTCACAAGCTATTGGAAAATCTCCATCAAAACTGTGTCTTCCGAAAGAAAACAGCCTCTTAAGGCTACTTGTACGAACGTATCTCATCTCCTCTGTTATAGAAAAATTTAGAAATATGTGTGTCTGATAAATTTCAGAGAATTAAGGGAGACAAGTACAGATGAGAGATACTTGAACCATAGAAGAGGACAAGACTATAAATGCAGTACGTGTTTATTATAAAGGGGTATTGAATTGAGTAGAGTCGATATATTCTCAGAACAAGCACCCCACATCCCTGCTGGGTTTCTCCCTAGAGAGGTTGTCTCTTTGGAGTGGATGGCCCTTTTTATCTGTTTCTTGTTGCAATATTTAAAGACTGAGGGGCGTGAATTTGGCTCTTTTCACTTCATCACTGGGACCACTCAATGTGTTCACTGAAAATGCAAGATGTTATTATGTTAAATTTTAATACTCCATAAAAACACGAATTTCAATTTCTAACTCTTACTATATATTTCTCCGACGGCCAAACAATCACAATTCAACGTGTATTGTTACGCGGGCGTACCTGGACTTCTAGTACCTGGTTCAACTGAACCCGAAATTGTTTATTCGTAAAATGATACAGTTGAATTTATACGTGGTTTATAAACAAGAAAATCAATTTGATCCCAAAAAGATAAAAAAAAATCTATAAAAATACAAGTCTTAGCGTCGAAATCGAGATAAGACAGCAAATAGCTTGGTTCCAGGAGCAGAGCTTCCGAAGGCAGTAATAGCAATACTAATAAGCAAGAGATAAAATGTTATTGAGCTTTTGAATAATATATAGTATAAGTTTGTATAAGTTTGTCAGAAAATTTGTGTACCCTACCATGGTTGTTGAGCTTACTACTTATAATTGTACCCAAGGAACAAGGTCGTAGGATCAAGCCTCTCTTAAATAACAATTATGAGGGCCATTGAAGAATGTGTAACGGCAGACTATGAATGTCTTATTCTCTATAAAGGGCTATGTATTTAATACTGCAGAATATTCTTCATTAAATGCTATCAAGTGGCAAGCATTTCTGAGCAACATTCCCTTCGCGGGTTACCGAGATTGCTGCCCCCGGACTTGATTTACACCTGTCTCGCTTTCCATCTATCTCTGGTTTCACCTGTCGCTCTATTATGCAAGTATAAAATATGAACATATTTTGCCCTATACAGATAGTCCCCCTGATTTCTGGTGGCACATCCTTGTGTCACCGGGAAGTTGGTGCAGATACCTTTCTTGGCAGAGAATTCTCTGACCTCCTTTGAAAAGTTTCTGACGCTTGATTAAATGCACGTCTCTTTGCCTTTAATGTCCCGAACACGAGTCATCCCACGATTCAGCAATACTCTCGTCGGTTCTCGAGGTAATCACGACTATGATTTTAGCCACCTATTCCTTTACTTATATGCTTCAATCTTTTTCTTTTGCACTTCACAATTTCACAAACTCTCTCAAACTTTATATACTCAACTCACTCTTGCTTTTAACTTTCTTTAACCTTCTTCTTCAAGGAAACCCTTACTTCCTTCTGCTAACTATGACCTCCTATTCCAAAAACTTCAGTTCTTCAAAAAAACAAGGAAATCACTGATGATGCTCATCCTTCTATGGTGAGCACCATTATCCCCAGAAAGCTTACTACGGCTAAGGACTTCGAAGAGAAGTTCCCTTCTGTTAACTCCCGCACATGGGCCATTGGTGTGTATCCTTCTTCCATCCGTTCTTCTAGCACCGATGTTGTGAAAGAAGACTGCGGTTACCATGATTTGAACATCATCGTTCCCCATCAAGCGGAGCGAGTAACCTTCCCCGAGTAGGGTTTACGTACGTTTACACGTACCCCTTCACTTTGGGCCAGTTCCCATTGAGCAAGGTACTTGACTCCGTAAACTTGAAATTTTGCTTCCATTATCAGGTCTGCTTGGCATATGTGAACCCTTATGTGCGGCGAACGATAGCCTGCCTTCGGCAGCTATGCCATGAGACGGCAGAAGAGCTCTCCCTGGCTCGACTGATGAACCTTTATTACCCTAAGATTTTTCATGGGGGAATGATAAACTTCAACAACCGTGGTCACCGTGCTCTGCTCACCAACATGGATAATGACAACGATCGTGGATAGATGGAGCGGTTCGTTGTAGTTGCTACTAGAGATAGCATCACAACCATAACTCCATCCTTTCTTAAATCATGGAATTGTACACGTAAGTTAAATGTATGTCCTTTTTATTGGTTAAAGGTTGTTCCATGCTATTGTTGATCCTCCTTTTTCCATTATTTCAGCAACTCGGGGGACACCACCAAGGGTTGAGGGCTTGGACCAGTAGATCTAGAAAAAATTTGATGTCGCCACGCCTGAGACCCGCCAGTGGAAAGAACTGGCCCTTAAATACGGGTGAAAGGCCAAAAATCATGGTAAGCTGAACTTATCTTATTTTTATCTTACACATAGAAAATCTGGCTAACTTCTCTTTTTGTTGAAGTCAGGTCTTTCGCAAAGCTCTGTTACCATCCCCGAGGAGGATGTTTTGGCTGATCCCGCAGATGCGGCGAGGTTTATATAGGAGGCCTTTGCTTGAACGGGTGTCATCGGACTTGCTTCTAGTGCAAGTGCTTCCTCTCAAAGTCTCCGGTCGAAGAACAAGCAACAAAAAGGTGACGTTCCTTTACGGTCGAGGGTAAAAATAAAAAGGTAAAGAGAGTCGCGCCTGAGCCAGCCACAGACACTGTGGTGATCGATGATGATGGAGGAGCCAGTGATGAAGAGGCTTCTCTACATAGAAGACGACAACCTTCGTCAGCTCAACAGAATGCTCAATCTGTTGAGCTAGTTACACCAACCGAGGACAATGTCCAGGAGCTCTAGGAGTGTGACGTAGTGGAAGATGCCAACTCTCTCTTCTGTGTCCCAATTGCTGCTCCCAGTACCGTGAGGCTGGGCACCCGATATCTTCCATCTTAGGTTTATAAGCAACCAATAACTAGCATTGCTTTTGTTGCAGCTGCTTCTCAACCCATAATGCCATCATCTTTATCTCCTTATTCGCCAACCTTGCTTTTGCCACCAGCAACTGCTACATCATCTTCACTGGCCACAGACATCCAAGAGGAAGATGTCCCTCTTCCCCAGTCCCCAGTCCATAGGGAATTAGGGCATAACTATTCGCCCCCATCTGCAGATCCTCAAAGGAAGAGGAGCGTCTCTTTCTCGGTCTCTATCGAATGCCATTTGCTCCCGATCGGTAGAACTTTCCAAGTACCTGAATCCTCTGGCTTCAGAGAAATATAGGAATAAAATACATTTTCTCTCGGGGGAATGTATGGTAAACAATACCATGCATAACGTAGCAGCGGTACGATATTTATTCCCTATACTATTTCTTCTAGTTTCTCCATGGCAATATCTTTGATTTGAACTTTTGTTTGCAGGCTAACTTACTTGCTTCCGAGCACCTTCAAAAGTTGATCCTTCATAAAGAAATAATCACCTCCGAGCGGGATCAGCTGTTGGCCAAGCGGGATCAAATTGCTGCTCACATCTAGGACTTGGAAGCACAAGCTCCCGAGGTCATTGAGTTGGAAGCTCGATTGTACCAGAGCAAGCAAGAGGTGCTTACCTCGGCCAAGAAGCCGCCCTGTTAAGTGTACAACTTCAAGAGGCCAAGGCAAAATGGTCTGAGGTCTAAAATGTTGTTCTTGCTACTGCTGATAGGGAGGTTGCTTCTGCTGAAAGATTAAATAATTTGGAGGTAGCCTTGAACTCCAAAGCTAAAAAGGTTGTTGGTGCCGAGGAGAAGTATGCACGTATGGAAGAGAAGTATAGGAAGGTCATGAAGCACAATAAAGTTTGTAACTCCACTATCCGTGATCTCTTGACGTTAGCCTTCAGACCGCTAGATCCGAGCGTAATAAACTTTTGACCAAGGTTGACCAGCTTAAGGAAGAATTTCAGCACCGAGTGACTTTCCTCATTGTTGAAAAAACACATGCTATGTATAGCATGAGGAGAAAAACCTTGGAAAATGCCAAAACGGGTGTCATTGACTTTAATGATGAGATTGCCAAGGCCAATGAGCTGGAGTCAACTGCACTGAGGAGTCTCTCGGTCCAACTTGATGTTACTGACTCTTCTGGTTCTGGTTCTGAGTTCTGGGGAACTGAAGAAGAACCTGAAGGGGATGATGATGAAGGTCCAGACCTCGATCCGGCGGCAGATCCACCTAGTTCTCCTGTAGGCGCAGATGCTTCTCTTCTCCTAGATTCTAGGGATGAATTAGTTTATTCATTCATTGTGCTCAAATAAATTGCCATTACTTGTGGCTAATTTGTACACCTTATTTCTACGGGGCTGGCCGCATAGTCCCTAGTCCCGATGATACAACTTTGTTCTCGAATTTCGTAGTCCCGGTTTACGTGGCAGTCATATTGCCGTATTCTTATATCATTCCCCTAGGTGTTCGAATGTGAAGTATGCGAATTTGAATACTGGAAATTTTTCCATTTGAAAAGTGAATGGTTGGATAATCTTTGATCTGATAACAAGCTTCACTTCCCGTTAGGAACTTTTCCATAGAGCCAAAAATTATCTAACCACCCCTAAGTGACTTGCACTCATGAACGATCAGATGACCTTTGGCCTTATAGCAAGCTTTATTTCCCGGTAGGAACTTTGCTATCGAGTAAACGACTATCTAACCGTCCCGTAGTGGCTCATTTCTTGCATGCCTTGTCATTTAAAGGTCTTATTTGTGCTAACAGTACTTTCTTGGTAGTATGTGTTTCGTTGCTACCTCATTAAAAAACTTGTGAGAAAAACCCAATTGGAACAAAAACTGGACGAAGGGAAAAATAGTGCAGCACATACTTTTAGTATAGGCGATGTTCATCAACAATAGTATATTTTGAGGTATGCCACATTCTAGTTGCTCAATAATTTTACTTCATCTTGATTTTCCAATTCGTATGATCCTTTTTCGGTGAATCTAAAACCTGGTAAGGGCCTTCCCACATTGGACCTAGCTTCCCTGCATTGAGCTCCCAAGTGTTTTGAGTTACTTTCCTCAAAACCAAGTCTCCTACTTTGAAATAACGGAGATTAGCTCTTCGATTGTAATTCTTTCCATTCTATGCTTTTGGGCCCCCATCCTTATGTGTGCCAAGTCCCTATATTCGTTGAGTAGGTTCAATCTAACTAATAATGCTTCCTTGTTTGCTTTTTAGTCCTCTCAGAAGTATCTAATGGTAGGTTTTCCTACATCCACCAAGATAAGGGCTTCTTCTCCATATATGAGAGAGAAAGGTGTCTC